TAGATAGATAGATAGATAGATAGATAGATAGATAGATAGATAGATAGATGAAAATGGCTTAGCTCAAAAAATGTTAATCATTAATCATAGCAATCATTTTTTTATTTAATTTTGTTTCTGGAAATCATTCCAAGACCCCAAATTTGATATAGTGGAGGTGCTCTACAAGATATCAAAGCTTGGCTTCAGTCACTATGATGAATCAAATATTGTGCTCCTTTAAGTTCAAATAATCAGGAATATTAGCTCAGAGAAGTGAAGTTCACTGAATGTTGGAACTATAGTTTTTGTGCATGAACTTCTGGATGTTACCCAAAGAAGATTTTTTTGGAGATAAAACCTTTTTTTTTTTTAATCTAAAGATGCAATTCTTTGTGTGGAGAGGACTTTTTAAAAGACCCATCAGCTTTCTGTCCACAAGTTTAATATTCACGTCACTTTTGTTGGCTGCTTTAAGTTTATTAGAATTTCTTAACATTTGAACTCTAAAAATATTCTCCACTCATGATACAGCTTCACAAGTTTTCCACATTCAATTTCACTTTTAGGATGCTTCACATTCAGTAAGGTTTTATCTCACGTCTTGACTCTTTAATGTGTTAAAGGAACAAAGTACTTAAACCAGGGGTGGTTCTAGAATCTGCCCTTTAGGGGCGCTTAGCCCCCAGTTCTGACAATGGCTTTTGGCTTGAACAATGTAGTGGCCACTGGTATCAGAAGCTACTTAATGTGTGTGTGAGGGGGAACACTGGTGGTGGTGGTGATGGGGGGGGGGGGGGGTCTGGGGGTTCTCCTCCAGAAAATTTTGAGTAAAATAGATGCCATTTCCTGCATTCCGATGTATTTTAACAGGTTGTTAAACATCTACGTTCATCTACATAAGTGAACACTTGATTCAATGACTATTTTAAAGTTAATGGCACAACCAGAAGTAACCTGACCAACAGCTCTCCTTGTGTGAATAGAGCATGCTCCGCTTCTCTCGTGCAACCCCACTCCTCCACTCCACTCCAACCCCCCCACCCCCACCCCACCCCCCAGCTCCTGCAGGTAAGGGACATTTCACTTCGGGACAAATTAAGGTCAACAATTGGTCAGTTGCTTACGAGCGTATTGGATTGATTGACAGGCGGCGTTAAGGATACAACTCGTGAAAAAAATAATAAATAAATCATAGATTTTACTGGCCCATTTAAGAGTCTCTTCATTAATTCCACATTTCTTCAATATTTTGGTGAATCTAAGTTTGGAGAACTGAGTTTCCTTACAAAATTCTAATGATGGTTTCTTTATTTTTCAGGCCTGCTGAGTTAAAATTTAAAAGAGGATAAAATCGCCACTGACTTAAACACTTCACATTTTATCTCTTGAGCTACTTTGATCATGTGTTTTCCACACACAATGAATTCAGCTTATTCTGCAGCGTTTGTTTGACCTCTGGTGTTACTCACCAGAGGCCTCGTGTACAAAGAGTGCATGCGCACAAAAATGTGGTGTACATCCTTTTCCATGCAAAACTTCAGCCGTATCAAGAATGAAATGATAGTGGAAATGTGCACAGCCCCACGCCATCTTCATTAGTGGCGTACACACATTTTTATAGTTATTGGTCCACTGGTGATACTTAGAGGTGATACAGAGAAACTGTTAATGTGGATATTATTATTGTACACATCGGACACACATGATGAAAAATTAATACATCCACATGTATGCAATTAGATGAGTGGATATAAAAGCATGCATAAAGTGGTGCAGAAAATACTTTTAACAACAATGACATTAGACTTAGTAGAGGATATAGCAAATGGCGCAGTATGTAGAGAGCGTGTAATTTTAGACATAGGATTTTCTGGCCAACGATGATGACCGGCTCATCAGTCGTTTTAAACTTCCAAGTCCTTTTGGAACTGTGCTTGAAGCTGTGGCCAGTCTTGGAGCGCGACACAGTGAGGAGCCGGGCGCTTCCCATACACATACAGCTGCTGAGCACACTGGTGGCATTTCAGAGGGAGCTGGCAGACCGATCAGGACTGTGCTGGTCAACCCTGAGCTGAGCCATGCCAGCTGTGTGGGATGGGATTATTTGTATGTCAACAGGTATATCCAATTCCCTACAATGTAGTTGAACAGGTTAACATTAAAGTGCAACTTGCAGCAACAGCCAGTTTTCTTAATGTAATCTGAGCTATTGACTGCACACATATTGCTGTAAAAGCACCATCACAGGACGAATACGTTTATATTAACAGGAAGCATTTAATTCAATCAATGGGCAAATTACATGTGATGCACAAAAGCAACTAACCAACATTGTGGCGAGGTGGCCTGGCTCAACGCTCGATTCATTCATTTTAATGAACAGCATGGTTGGGAACAGACTACAGGCTGGCACAGTGCGGGATGAGTGGTTTCTCATTTAATCATCCTAATATTAATCCATCTGATGCGCATGGAGCAGAGTCAGGGGTATTTATATTTATTAGTCAGGGGTTCAGGGAGTGACTTCCTATTTTTGCTGGTTAAACTACAGTTTCAGAGCGTTCTACCAAGCCTCTGATTGTCTCTGTGTGTGTAGTAGTTATGTCAATAAACACATGCGTGACATGTGAAATGCCTCACCCTTTCCCTGGCACACTCCTGCATTCATGCACAATAAGAGTGTGGTCCATGTTAGTGGCAATGGACAGTCGTGTTCTGCTTCATGGCCACCTTCATGTCTGACCACGTGTTTTCATTTCTGTGGGTGTGCGCTGCTCTGACCCCACATCATTGACCAACACATTGTCCCACACACTCATCTTGCACTTGGCGCTAATGCCATAGGACAGCGTGCCAAACAGAAGGTTTTTACGTTCCTCTACCCGAGTTAGAAGCATCGCCAACTCACATTCTGTGAAGTTCCTCCTTCTCCAGTGTGTAGACATGCTTTTTGATTGTGTTAGCAAGGAGATTCCAATTTCTGGGCATATTTAAATCTGTTAGCATATTTAAATGTAGTCATGTCAAGGGAGGAGTCGAGTATTCCCTCATGAGCGCTTAATTCCACGTTGATTGGGATGTAAAAAGGAAGTGTGCTTCCACGCACAGTTTCATTCAACTGGATTTATTTGTGTGTACACAGTTTTCTTGATTTAAGCATATGCAATGTTTCAGTAGGAAATCCACGCAAGTCTTTGCATATGAGGACCCAGGTGGTTGTTTATCTGGATGGAATCGAAGGGCAAACAGTCACAACTGGACCCCGATTACAAACCAGAAAGTTTCCACGTTGCTCCTCACTTCCAGACATTTTCATATGCAGATATCACAGATATTGCTACGCTGCTGCATTTGTTCTAAATAATAGGACTTCAAGTTGCTCATCAGGACAAACTGTGTTGTAAGTGACTTCATTTCGAAATTACACTTTATTTTTTTAAACATGGTTTAAGAAATGTTCTGATTCATGTCTGACAGACAACACATACTGCTGTATAACCCTGCTATAAGTCACTGAGTCAACACATTTAACATTAAAAACTAAAAAATATTCACAGTGTCTTTATTTCTTTTCACTAAACGCATCACATGAAAACTCTGTGGCGGTGCTCAGATTTTACTCTTTGTCTAATAATTTTATAAAAGAAAATATCAACACGGTCTTATAAATCAGTTATTTTCACATGCCACCATGAAAGGAGGGCAATCATGTAATTGCCTGTGTTTCTATGAGTTTTTTTCGCCAACATTTTCTACGTTTCATTGTAGTCAAATTTATATAAATTTAACTTCAGCTAAAGACAAATTGATTTTTGTTGTTTTTGTGGCTCCTGATATGTAAAACCTAATATATATATATATATATATATATATATATATATATATATA